CCAAGAGGGGCACGGATCAAGGTCGCATGTGGTTGGGCGCACAGCCACGAACAGCCTGTCCACTTCCTCCAGGCTGAGTGGGTCAAAACATACTAAACCCGTCTCCAAAGACGTACAAGGGGCCTCAAGTTCCCTAACTGTATCAAGTGTGGGGGGGAGGTCACGACGGAGTGCCAAGACTTTATCTGCAAAAAAGCTCGCAAAAGCCTCGCAGTATGCGATGATGCACATAACGGCACCGAGCTGGGATGGAATGATCAGACCATCCCGACGGCATGAGAGTGTGCTTGTGTGATCAGACAGGGGAAAGTCCGTCCGTGGCCTGTCAGAACCCGCTAGAGCTAGACTTTCCCCGGTGTCTTTTAACTCCGCTTCTGCAGCGGAGCAGCACGGGTTGCCGACGACTGCGGGACGCTTTCCAGATGTTGCTGTCTGATCGCGCCCTTTAGATCCATCAGGCATTCACACTTATGTTGGATCTTAAGGCACATGTGATCGCAGCCTTACTGTAAAAAAGTTTTTCCTAATATCCAGCCAGTATTTTCCTGCCCTTACTTTAAAGCCATTATTGCAAGTCCTCTCCTCTGCTGTGAACAGGAACAGCTCCCTGGCGTCCTCTGAGGGACAGCCCTTCAGATACTTCAAGAGAGCAATCATGTCCCCCCTTGACCTCTTCTCCAGACTAAACATTCCCAAGTCCCCCCTCAGCCTTTCCTCATAGGTCTTGGTCTCCAGACCCCTGATCATCCTTGTCGCTCTCCTCTGCACCCGCTCCATTCTGTCCACATCTGTCCTTGAAAAAGAGCAGTTTCTGTCAAGAGCTCTCTCAGCCCCGCCTACCTCACAGGGTGTCTGTTGGGGGGAGAGGAAGGGAAAGGAGTTTGTAAGCCACTCTGAGACTCCTTTGGGTAGTGAAGGGCAGGGTATAAATCCAATCTCTTCTTCTCTCTCTTCCACATCCTTTTTGAAGGGACAGCCCTTCAAATACTTCCAGAAAGCCATCATGTTCCCCCCTCAACCTCCTCTTCTCCAGACTGAACCTTCTCAAGTCCCTCGGCCTTTCCTCACGGGGCTTGGTCTCCAGGCCCTCGATCACCCTTGTCGCTCTTCTCTGCACATGCTCCATTCTGTCCACATCCTTTTTGAAGTGAGGCCTCCAGAACTGCGCACAAGACTCCAGGTGCGGCCTGACCAATGCGGTGTACAGTGGGACTATGACATCTTGTGATTTGGATGTTGTGCCTCTGTTGATTAGTATCTGAAGGACTGTCATATAGGTTGTTCAGGAAGGTCGGACCAGAACCGGTGGGTTGAAATTAAATCAAAAGAATTTTCGACTAAACATTAGGAAGAACTTCCTGACAAATAGAGCAGCTCCACAGTGGAACAGGCTTCCTCCAGAGGTGGCGGGCTCCTTCTCTGGAGCTTTTAAAGCAGAGGCTGGATGGCCATCTGACAGCAGTGCTGAATCTGTGAACTTAGGCAGATCGTGAGAGGGAGGGCAGGAAGGGATGAGCCAGTGCTTAGTTCTTGTGGCCCTTTCTTGTATGCCCAGGCTAATGTCGATCGATCGCCACTCTGGAGTCAGGAAGGAATTTTCCTCAAGGTCACTGGGGGAGTGGGAGGGAGAAGTAGTTGTGAATTTCCTGCATTGTGCAGGGGGTTGGGACTAGATGACCCTTGGGGATTCTTTCCAGCTGCAGGATTAGAGGCTGTCGTGTAGAGACTGGCTGTATATAATGGATTGTTGAGGATGTTCCTCCAGATCAGTGGGACAGCCATGGGCACCCACATGGCCCCATGGTATGCTAACATCTTTATGGCTCACTTGGAGCAGTGCTTTCTAAACTCCCACCTGCTCACACCTGTGTTATTCCTGTGATTCATTGATAGCATTTTTATCCTCTGGACAGACACATGGTAAAGAAGCCCTGGACATATTCCACCAGGCATTCGTGAAAGTGCTGTCCAGTGGCAGCCAACCTGTAGCAACCCCCTCATGGGGTTTTCAAGGCAAGAGATGTCCAGAGGTGGTCTGCTGCTGCCTGCTTCTGTGTAGCAACCCTGGACTTCCTCGGTAGTCTCCCATTCAAGCACTAGCCAGGGCTGACCCTGCTTAGCTTCTGAGATCTGATGAGATCAGGCTAGCCTGGGCTACCAAGGTCCTAAATAAAGGCTTAATAAAGACTAAAATGTTTATTATTTCATGTGTCGGAGCCGACTTCATCAGATCTGTGTATGAAATGCGCACATTCCTTGCCAGCAGGGAGGTAAAGGCTAGCGTCTTAACTTATGGTTTTCATGCTTGTTGGTATTTTAAGTTAAGCACCTTAAGTCTCTTGTTAAACTTGTTACTGATCCTAGAAGGATAAAATGCATATCATACATTTAAGTTGAAATGAGACTGTTAAATTTTCTGTGCAGCTCGAAGATGTGTCAAGAACTGCAACGTCTTCTACGCATGGAATCACTTTTCAGAAATGTGCAGTGGTAAGTTTGAAAGAATCTTCTTAGAGCCATAAGATCCAAATCTTTGATAAACTTGTTTCAGCCACAAAGATCCAAATCTTTGATAAACTTGTTTCAGCCCTTTTAAAAATATGTAAACCCCAAGCCAGTAAGCAGAATCAAAACTCAGCTTTGTTAAACAACCTTAGAAATAGCCTGGAATTAATGTACTTGGTGAAATCAAAATATGGACTGGTTAAATCTCTCTTTTAGATATTTAGGAAATAAATACAATCTAAAAGCACAAGGGGGGGGACCATAAGACTCACGGGGGGAGAATCTCATCTCCCCCTCCCCCCACTGCCAAGCCTGGCACGTCTCCAGGCCCCACCAACCACCTTAAGCCTGGCAGCAGGAGCTGGTAAGCTGTATGCACAGAAAACACTTTAAAAAATGTGGGGAATTTAAACTCCCAATGCATTTTTTTAAACGTTTCAGATTTTTTTTGCAAATCTGGGAATCTCTAAATTTGCAGAAAAATCTGTTAAATGTTGGTGCTGCCCCAATCCACAGATTTAGGTATCTGCAGTTGTTCAAAGGTTGAAAGATCAGGTGCTTGTCTATGTACTTATCTATGACCTTCAGATGTGGGGAGGCAGATTAAAAGCCAAGAGGAAGCAGAACATTTATGTTCTGCAGAGGCCCTGGTTTTTAGGTGGAAAAAGTCAGACAAATCCAGTGGCACAGGAGCTTCCATGTGTCCAAGCTCACTTCCTCAGATGCCTCTTCAGATGGTTTTTAGAGCCTTCTTCTCTTCCACGTCAGTTCAACAATACTTGTACCAGTATTACAAAATATGATCAATGAACTGGTAAGTCGGAAATCATTACAGAAGAGGGTCCGTGTATTTTCATTTGGATGTTGTTTCCCATTTCCACAAAATTCCAGAAGTTTACAAGAGTGCTTGTTACTGTTCCAGCTGCAGCAGTCTGAGGCAGAATTGCTTGGACACAAGGAGGATTGGCTTGGAGAGCCACAGCTACTGAGACTGGGTCCAGCTATAAACTCACAATCCGAGTACTAATAGCTTCTAGAGAGCTTCAGCATCAAGGAAACGTCTCAAAAAATAAATCAAATAATCATTCATTCTGGCAAAATGTAATGACACACCACTGGCAAAAATGCAACGCACACCATTTTAGTATTGTGCACCGTTTTCAGTGTGATAAGGATCAATACTTAAAGAGCTCAATAGAGGAGGGCCAGAGGCCAGAGAGAGAGAGAGAGAGAAAGTGGGGGCTTTTACCTTCTTCCTCCCCCTTGAGCTCCTCACGCGCTGGGAGAGAGGAGACTTGGAGGCCCCAGCCCTCTAGGGATGCAGTACAGGCCACCTCAGCCGTCCCTGGCCCGTTAGGCCTAACGAACTTTGTGAAGGCTAGGGCAGTATCCAGAGAACTCTTAAGATGTGGTACTGGGCCTCTTCAGATCCCATTGTCTGGCTTTTCAGACGGAATCCCTCGACAAAGGCTTTTGCTTGAGCGACAAGAAGCAAACATCCGTTCCTTACTGCTTGATTGCTGGCACAGTCCCTACAGTCAAGCATTTCCCTGCGCACTTTGGTACTCATCCAGCAGATAACTCTGACCTGATTTTGGAAGTCCTGCCTTACATGTTCTCTCCTTAACATGCCTCTCTGGGGAGGACAGATCAGTTTTCCAGTTATCAGATTAATGCTGAAGTAGGTTAAGACGCTGAACTGCAGGCTGTGGAAGGTCAGTAGTTCAGCAGTTCAAGACCCAGGTTGCCGCATGACGGAGTGAGCTCCCGTCTCTAGTTCCAGCTCCTGCCAACCTAGCAGTTCGAAAGCAAGAAATTGCAAGTAGTGGGAAGGTCACAGTGGGAAGGTCACAGCGTTCCATGCGCCTTGGCGTCTAGTCATGTCGGCCACATGACCACGGAAACGTCTTCGGACAGCGCTGGCTCTTCGTCTTTGAAACGGAGATGAGCACCGCAACCCTAGAGTCGGATTCGATTGGCTTTCGAGCAAGGGAACGTTTACCTTTACTAGGCTGGTATGTTAGCACCCAGCCAGCCCCACTCCACATGCCTTCTCCTCCTTCATTGTAGGCAATTCCTTTATAATAGGGCTCTAAACACATTCTCATTTTCATTGCTTGTGCATCTCTATCGCTTTGGGATTTCCCCCCTCCCTTTTCTGCATGTGTTTTGCTCCCTCTAGTGGTTGATGCAATATTACATCTTGTATGTCTGGCATATTTTATTTTATGCTGGACATATAGTGATATAATATCGAATAGATCACTAAGGGACGCAAAACACTTGAGAAAAAGGGAAACCCCCCCCCCCCCGAAGCAATAGGAACCCAGAAGCTACAAAAATGAGAATATGGAAGAGCCCTTCGGTGGAGGAAGTGGCAGGAGCAGAGCTGCCTCTGTATGTGGGAGCAGGGCGAAGGCTGCGTAGGGATGAGATGTGGAGGCAGGTCATTCAGGGTCAAATAAGGCATGATGGGGGGGAAATCTGTGGTTGGGATCTCTCGTGGTATTTTAAAGAAGTTATTAGCAGTCCCAGGTAGCTGCAGAGGAGGGTCAATGGGGTGTGTGCTTGCACATGCATGTAGTTACCCTTTCCTCCTGCGTCTTTCCCTGCATAAATTGCCTTCCCTCCCTAAAAGCCGCAGCTAGTTCCACGGGGTGGGCAGGCACAGTACCTGGACTCTTCTGCTCTCGCGGACCAATTGCAGCATTGGGGGGGGGGGTTTAAATGGGGGAAAGGTCCAGGAGGTTCAGAGCTTGGGTGACCACAGGGAAGGGTACCCCCCCCCCAAGGTTGGAGCTGTCCCCTCGGGGGCCAGTGGAGACATCACGGACGAGATGGTAAGCCAGAAGGTAATACTGCACCGACAGTCATTTCTCAAAATGGTTGTGCGGAATCAGACATAAAATGCAACAAAAGGAATGGGAGCTATTATTTATTTATTTATTAGCACGTTATAATCGCCATTGTAAGGTTTTGTGTTCCGTGCCCTTCCCGATCCAGACAATGAAACGGAAGGGGGAAACGGAGCGGGACAGAAGGGAAGTCGCCCCTCGTGAACCCGCCTGACGCTCCAGCGCTCGGCTGCTCTGCCTCCCCCAGAGCCTGATTAGCAGGGCCCCCCGGACCTTCCGCCTCTCGTATTCATTCCGTCCTGTCTCTGCATGTGCCGGTCTCTTGCATTCAGACCAACGGCTTTCTATTACTCGGTTTCCAAGCAACGGGTTTGCTGTAGTGGAGATTAAAATCATCTTGAGAGTTTGAAATGCCCCAGATGCCCTCAGAAAAACAGGAATGACCCTTGACCCTTTCCGTGCCAGGCCTGAATCGGCGAGCTGCGTTTTAGGTGGAGTTCTGGGCAACTTTCCCCCCAGTGGTGTTCCCCCCCCCCTTTAAATGGAAAGAAGCTACTGTTGGGAGTCCAGGAGGGGCTGGCCTCTTTGCTGTTAGCTGTTTTTCCCTCTCAGAATTATTATTTTCAAGCTCCTTATCTCCATATAAGCAGGTAGAAACACATTCCCCTGTGGAAGAAAAACAGCTTGGGGAAGAGGGAAGGAATTAAGCCCCCCCCCCCCCCCCACAGCTCTTTCTCTTT